GGGGAGCAGGATGGAGGTGGAGGAGGCGTTCCCGCTGGTGGGGCAGATGGGGCCCTACCAGGTGTATCTGTGCGTCTTGCTGGCTGTGCTTCTCCAGGTGAGATGTCGCCTCCCCTCCCGCCCCTTTCCTAAGGGTGGGGTGCAGCGCCTTGACTCGCGTGGGATCACCCGTGGGGGAGGCAGTGCTGGGAGGGGAATGCCCCCACTAGCACAGTGCGGGTGCTGTGGGCAGTTGCCCTCAAGTGGCTGGGGGGGGGTGCCTGTGGTGAGTGCTGCCTGGTGTGAAGGTTGGTGTTGGAAGCCTTGTGCCGCGGGCTGCTGGTGGCAGTAACTGGTCTGCTCTGGATGTAGCCTGCAGCACTTTGCAGTGCTCCTGGGGCAGAGGTGACCTCTATCCAAAGGCAGAGTGAACTTCTGCAGAGGGAATTGGGGGCAAATGGCTGGTGCCATATGTGCCACGTTGCCTGAGGTGTTATGCCTTGTGTCGCTCAGTGAGCAAATCAGGAGTATGTAGTTTGTCAGGTGAAAGGCTGGTTGAAGTGAAATTAAACTGAGATTTCTATGAGCTAGACTAGAAGAGAGTGACTTCTGCCAGAGACTGCTGGGAATCCTACACAACTTAGAGTTAGTGGCCTAGGCTGATGGTTTCTAGGTTGCATGTGGCTTGTTTGTGGTGGAAATGTTTGAAAAGCTGTAGGTGGTCACTGATACTTCTGTGTGTGGAGCTCTCCGCTGATAGGCTATGACTGCTTATGGTACTTTGATTTGCCTTGACTTAACTCGGAGTGTAGGAGCAGTGTCTCTGCATTAGGTGTTTGGACAAGGCTCGACATTTTGGGTGGTCAGGTTTGTATTCTGTGAAATACAAAACTGGAACTCTCTTAAGTTTTGTGATTAAAATGGAGGCCAAAGTAACAGCTGAGTGATACAATACAATTCAGGCACTGCTGATCAAGTGGTGTGCTCTGCAACCAGGTTTGTTGTCTTTGCTTCTTTGTGTCTCTTTCCTGTGGGGGTGAGGAGGGGAGATGAGGATAATATATGCACCTTCGCAGTCAGGCCTAGGCATAAAGTATAGTTTGAATCTGTCAGAAGTTTGGTTTACACCACATTAACTCTTCAAAAACTTAATCGTGGTGAATTCAGCCAGGCTGACACATGCTGGGTTACTGCCACTGTGGAAACTTAGCAGCTGCAGGAGGGATGAAGGGAACTTTGTATCCTCCTGCCTCTGCTGAGTGGCATTTTGTAGTAATCAAGAACTTCCAAGTCATGAGCTGTGAGACTGAAGGTGTTTTCTCCTGGCAGCTGTGAGACTGACAGAAGTATTAAGAAGCTTTATGAGATGACCGAAGAAAATTTAGATGCCCAGTTCTGTCAGTTGGGATCTCTGTACTTGGTTGCAAAGCTATGATGATGAACAGCAAAAGCTTTGTAGGTTTCTGTTTCCTTGTACTGTTTCTCTATCTCACTTTTTTAAACTGATTTATCTGATTAATCCTTTAAAATTAGATATTGCTTAGAGCTTGTTCAACTGGCTGACTGGCAAGATAATTTGTATGCTCACTGAAGATTAGGGATTAAGGAAGCAGTAGTTATTTTTTTCTTCCAGTGCTGGTCATGTTCTGGCACAAACTGCAACCATGACAAGTGCTCTGTATTGCCAGAGTTTGAAGTAGTATGGGTCAGCTGTTCTGTTATGATTTTGTTTGTTTTCTTTTTAATGGATTAATTTGCATTTCTCATGGGAGAAGTAAAGAAAGATCTTTGCAAATCCTGGAACTAACTCAGAATAACTAAAGAAAAAAAAGTACCAGGTTTGCAGATCTGTTTTTTTCTTCTCATGTTAACTTTAATTCTTGGACTATACCAATGAAGGTCGTTCCCTGACTGATATATTTTCTTTGCTTCAGATCATGCAGGCGCAGGAGTTTGTAAGGGTTTTAGGTATGAAGCTTGTTGTCTTTCAGTCCATGAATAGATTTAGACTTACACAACTGGTTCCTGCTTGGGTGGTTGATTGCTTTTGGTGCTCCTTTATTGGTGCCAAGTTATATAATGTGTCACTGGGATGTGCAAGAGCAAGACTGAAGGCAGGTTCCACGACCGCTGCGAGTCTTTTGGCTGGTTTATTGTCAGTCTTTGGAGGATAGACGCAAAGGTAAGTCATGTATCTGGTATGTGTGTGTGATGTAGATTTAGGTAATTGTGGTCTCCTTTAGAGGATTAGATGCAGGGTCTGGCTGCAGAATGAGACCTCCGGTTAGTCTATGTCACTGGCTCCGCCATGGACTGATTATTCCATCTAATTGTTTGTTTCCCTGTCTCTTCCCATGTGCTCCCTCAGTTGGCTTGTATTTTCACATTGGCCTATTGGTATAAAAAATATTTCTACATTCTTAAAGATAAGAATACCACATAGGTGAAAACTCTTTTTGTCTTTGCTGTGTCAAGTCCCTCAATCGCTGATGCTAATATACTGAGCTTAAACTCTCTGCTTTCCCTGCCCTGTAAGATTCCCAGCAGATGTTCTTGCTTTCCTTGTAGACTTTTATGCTTTTTCACCTCTGCGTGTTTCTAATCTCTTGAGTTTCACACTTTATAGGTATTTTCCCTCATCTTAGTGTTTTTCTTCTCATAAATTTCTACAGTAAACTACTTCTACCATATGGCCTTACTGATATACCAATGTATCTGGTCTCTGAATTCTAATTATAAACACAGTTTAGCTCAGACCTTCTTTGAGGCAAGTTGTACTTGTGTCTGTATGGGTGAGACTTTCCACATGATTCTCAATTTTCATGTGGGCTTGAGTGAACTGGTACTCAACCTGTGCTTACTGACACTGGCAAAAAACCTCCAGGTTGCCTGTAGTCAGAAAAATGTTTTTGTATGTCATCAGTGTAAAACTAGGTGAAGTGTAAGTCTTGTGGGCTGCTTCTTTCATCTTCACTGATTTATATTATTCCTCTGCTACCTGCTGCTGTTATTCGTTAACTTGTTGAGATGTTACTGTATTAAGGTATGCCTGGCTTATTCACTACCAACTTAATAGGACTTTGGAAGATTTTTAGGAATGTCCCGTAGCAGTGGTTGCTAACTTTATAACAGAGTGATAACAGCTAAAGTAGAGAAACATTTTTTCCAAAATCTATGGAATTACACAAAGACTGGACTTAATCTGAACAATGTGGGAATAGATTAATGATCTGAATTTGAGGATGGATTAGTCTTGCATTTCCAAATTTCTCTTTAAGAGAATGAGGGAGGAATAAAGGGACCTCATAACTCTTAAAATACTTAGGACTTTGAACTAAAAGTAATTGCTTGACACTATTGCTTGATTACTAGAAAGGTGCTCACTACCTTTTGAAGAAATTATATTGAAGCATTATTAAAGAATGGTGTCTTTTGGTGTTTGTTTAGTGTGTGTAGCAACATTAGCTAAAATAGCCCATCTTGATCAGATCCTTGTGAGTGTACAAGCATATTAAAAAAAAAAAAAAAAGAAAGTTTCGTGGTCTCTTGGGACTCAGCATATGCAGTTGAAAGAGGTTTGCCTTGCCAGTGAATCTAAGCTACAGGGTTGCCCAAGTCCAAACTGAACCTGCAGAAATCTGAGAATAGAAGTGCACTCCTACTATATGTCTATTAAAAGGCTGTTAAACATGTTAGAGTTTAAAGAGGAAGTCTTGTTTGCAGAGCTGAAAAAGGCTTTGCCTAAAATTGGGTGATGTGCATTGCATGGCACTATGCATAATTACCAAGCATGGTGCTTCCCTCCATCTCAGGGACTCATTACTAACTGCAAGGAAGATGGAAAAACAGTTAAGGTGGTAACATCAAGTTACTATCAAATGCATTCCTGTTATGCAAAGATGTTCTTGATGCAGTGCAGCTGTAATGAGTGGTGCTGCTAACATCTCTTTGCTGTTGACAGCAAGATCATGTATGACTTCTATCATTTGAATATCCCAATGCAGAAAGCTGCTTTTTAATCAGCCCATCTGCACAAATGTGTTGAGGGAAAGCAGGTTCTGGGACATGTGGCTTAAGTAAGGTAGGCTCATCCCAAATCTTTAGAAATAATTTGAAAGAAATGGTTTGGTGTCTGTCTTCAGATATGATACAGATGTGATCCCATACATAGCCCTGTTTAACTCTGTTTCTTGACTTTTCTTATCTACCCCTCTGTACACATTCTACCTCTTTAATGGCATGAGACATCATGCTGTAGTTGTAATGACAGTAATGAAATACTTTGTCACTGAATCTTCTTTTAATACTTATGTTTGCTTGAGTCTATTAAGCTGTTCTTTGAACTAGCCAGAATTGATCATAAATTGAACAGCTTACTCCCAGTCCTTGATGAGGTATGTTATTAGGACTTTATCTGAATAGAAAGTGCAAAACAAATTTGAAATGTAATGAGCAATTTACAATTAAGGAAAGAGATGGATATTACACGAATTGCATTACAATTGCTAGTAAAGGGTGCTGAAGGTGTTCTGAGGGCTTCATGACAAGCATGCTGTTTACCCAAAGTTACTTGCACTGTAACTTAGACATAGTTCAACTATAAGTATCTGTAAGGTATGTAAACAAGGTAGCAGATATAAAAAGGATTTACAGAATTGCTGTGTGACCTTCCTTCACTTTGATTACTTCACTGTTTGGCTTTTTTCTTTTATGTCTATGGGAGAAGTAAGAGTTTTAAGTCACTCTGATTCTCAAGAAAGCAGTTGTAGAATGTGCGTCAAATATGTGCAGCCACTTACATGAAGTGTGGGCTCAAATGCGGCATGAATACAAACGTAATAAGTAGGGGCCAAAATTTATCTCTTGAGGTAAACTTTGTATTCCCACATCTTGTTGTGCATTGTATCTTACTGAGAACATGCTTATGCTAAAGGATGGTATTGCCTGCCTTCTAGAAGTGATGAAGGCTTTTAGAGTAGCAGATTCACTGAATTGAATTCTTTGTTCTGGTATAGCTTATTCCTGCTTGGGAAGAAAAATAAACTAGGTGGGTGTACGTATGTAAACTAATCACACAGAAAGATATGCTGCTACTCATTTAGCTAAGAATATTTCTAC